ATACAAATTGAGAAATGGCAACAGGTTGAGATTCAACAGGTACTATAGGTCAAATTTGTTGCAGGTATTTCTTCTTGTGTTTGATATTTTCTCCAGTTAAAAGTATTTTTTTTCTTCTTATAGACCACAAATAATGAGAGGTTGATAAAAGAATTCCAAGTTTTTAAATTTAAAAATAGTATATGATATTTACAACTATATATTCGATCAAGTATGTCTCTGGTAATAGAAAAGATCTTTTGTGAAAAGTCTTCTTTGAATATTGATTTTCAATTTATCTATTGTAAATTCTCCTAGATTCAGTCTTCTGAGAAGTTGTCGCTACTTCTTGTCTTCAAGTATCAGTCCTAGGAATGTCAACTTTAGAAATAGACGTCTCTCTTATCAAACGCATCATATTCAAAGCTTCTATAGCAACCATCCGACAAGTTTTCTCATTCAAATATAGAATAGACTTTGACTTCTGTTAAAGTTGGGCTTTGTATAATTTTACTTGCATTTTCTCTCTTATTTTCCAACGTACTCTTTTTTTTTTCCATCGTTTACATCTGTTAAAATGTAGTCCATGATGAAGCACCTGTCGACATACCTTCGTTTAGTAACTTGTTGTTGACAGTAAAATTTCATTTAGAACATGTGGATGGTTTTATGAGAAAATAATAATTTTTCTTTTGATTATTATTCTGTTAATTAGTAGTGCAATTTATCAAAGAATTGTTCATCAAATTGAAAGAGGTTTATTACTTATGACTATAGAGTAAAAAAATGTTTTATTTTTCTTCATTGAAAAAAAAACAAATGAATTTATTAGTGAGTCAAATTGCTCCACGTGTATGTATTTTTATTTTCTTTTTCCTCTTTCTACTTTAACTAAATTATTCTCATTCAATGGCATTTCATGATTGTATATTTAAATGAAATATTTTCAACAAACTGGCCATTGTCCAGACGAGTTCTGACAGTTCCAGCTATCAGTTGACCCGAATTCCGTTTCTTGGACGCGTTCTTAGGATTCTCTGATCGGTGGTTTGCAGTTTCGATGCTGTCAATGGACGTGAAAGCATGTTGATGACGACACCCACATATTATGAATGCTGGAAATGGGAATGAGAATGAAGGTATGTTGCGGAGATTACTGCCATTCACTCTAGAAGACTTGATCTCAATTACGTGGTTGGAAACCTCATTACGTTCAACACTTGAACACACTTGATCATCTCTGATGATTACTTGCTTTACTTGACCATCTTCAGAAATTGCAATTATCAATGCAGGTTTAGTCCATTCTACAAAAATTCACAGGGCACAGTAATAAGTGAGGTTAGTTGATAAAAATAGATTGAATATGACAATCATTAATACAAACAAACTCTTTATCATGTATGTATTATATAAGTTAATAAATTAAATATGTAAATATATCGATAGTATTCAAACATTTTAGGTTATGTAGAAAATGTAGAGTTATATTTACTGAAAATTCACAGGAATTTGAAATTTTCCGAAATTCCATTTAACATCCTTTAGTTACGACATAACTAAGAAATTCTTCAAATATATTTGATATATCCTCACGTGTTTAGTCGTATTATATTCAAAGAAAAGTTAATCTTGTATATCGAGCCACACCAAATAAGTCAGTTATAAACCGCCATGTCTCAGTTGTTCTCTCGTTCATAAGAGATCTTATCTTGGTACAACCACCTGAACTCAACATGTATCTAATTGAATTGATTTAATAAATAAATTGAAGCTGATCAAATCTTAGGTAGGAATCGTTTCAAATATCTTGTAGGGGAGATTCGTTCTAGTATTTTAAATTCAATTGACTCTATCACTTTTTTCAAATCTTTTTCTATATAATTAGAAGCATAATACAATTGGAGTGATTTAATAAGGAATGAAATTTGTTAATTTATCATTGGAATTTTATGTTGGAATAGTTGCTGGAATACTATTGTGTCTTTTAGTACAATTGATATATGACTGGATGCAATCATTATTACAAGGTATTGGTTTATAAAATAATGATAAGAGGACGATTTTAAAAACAATTAACCAGAACCAAAAATGAGACAATGATTTTTGATATAAATAAAATAGGTCATGAATTCCGTCTTAATATTTTTATTCTAGAATACACGTGATGCTATTTGGATTAAAAGACATTTTATCGTGAAATATTGGTATTAAAGGTATGCATTTGAAAAAGAATGACATTGAAGAAGAGAATTTATTGAAATCAATATTAAAAATGGATATTGAAAATGAAAAAGTCATAATGAATGGTAAAAATTAATCACTGCAATTCAAAGTAATTTTCAATAACAGAAATTAGTATGGTTAATGATATTGTCAAAGTATGATTATATGAATGGGAAAATTTTTTGCTTCATTTTAATCAAAAGACCTATTTATCAGTATGTGAAATAAATGCTTCAAACATCTGGAGATAAAATCAAATCGAATTCTGTTGCACTGTTTTGCGGTTTATAGCAAATCTGTTACGAATTGATACATTCATTTTGAGTTGATTTCAATTGAATGAATTTAATCAAGGACTAAGGATTAATTTTTAAATTGATGTACAAGATATTCCATTCTACAGAATATTTAATACTCAAATGTTGTAGACAAGTTTGATAATAACGTATTCGAGGGAATTTTATAATTTTGGTACATTTGGTAACAACCAAACAAAAACTAGGTTGCTGTACGTTTGTGTACTAATTTATAATAAATGAAAATTGGTTTCTGCGGAAATATGTGGCCTCTCTCCGGTAATCGAAGGAATTCCCATTGTCCCTGATCGTGCCTCGTACTTGTATTCTCACGAACCATATCAATATTTAGGTATATATAGATAGAAAATTAACTTGGAAATTCAATACTACATCGTTGCTTGAGAATAAAATATTTTCAATTAGTCATTTCATCTATGCATTGAATTTAAAATTAACAAAGTCAAGTTATTTTTCTTTTTAACTATCCATCTATTTATGAGGTAATAAAATTTTTAATTTATTCCTTTAATCAATTATTACTTAATTAAATTAAATAATAGATTATTTTAAACATTGTTAAAATTTTTACATTTTTATTGGATACTTTTTTTTACTAAGAAAAGATTGTTTTTTTTTATTAAAAAAACTGAAGTTTTAGAAGAAAATTTTATCAGTATTCTATTATTGTGTAGAGAAATCGAGTGTACGAAATTCTTTTTCAATATGAAAATTATAAAGGTAGGGAATACCAAAGTATTTGAAATTGAGTACAAGTAGTGAAACAGTTGATTAGGGTTGACAATAATTAGGAAAAGAAAAAATCAAACTTTGAGGTCACAAGCTTGTAAAAAGACTGATAAGTATTTACAGGCTTTGTATTGGAATCCAAATAAATTTTAAGTGTGCATTTACGAAACGATGTTAATTATTTATTTATTAAAAAATATTATCGTACACTTGTCTGACTTAAAATCCAGATAGACTTGGGAGATTATCATAGATTGTATTTAACTGTTTCTAAAAACTTTACAATAATTTTCTATAAATTTTAATTAATTAAATAAATTTACTACCTTTAAAACAATATTTTTTTAATTTATAAATTTTTTTGACTCTAGAAAATCCTAGGATTTTGTTTATTTAATTTATTATTAATTTTCATAGTTTATTGCTGTGATTAAATTTTATTAGAAAAATTATTAAATGAAAAAAAAATATTCGAAATTTTTTTTATGAACATTAAATACGAATATTGCAAAACTACTGAAACTAAAGTCGATTAGTTTACGCTTCGAGACCGATAAATTTGTTCATGTCCCTAGTCACAGGACACCAGAGAACAAAAATGAATAACAAAAGTGTTTAGTGGTGTGAGAAAGAAGGGGATGAAAAAGTATAAACTATACTACAAGCAAATCGATTGGATCTTTTGCTACACGACAAATTTATTGCTCGAATTATCTTTCATTGTAACTTGTATAATTCCATCCACTTGGAAGTAAAGATTTAGAATGGTACACAATTTACCAACTAAATATACATACATTTACTTTTTATATTTTACTGAATATAAATGGAGTTTATATTGAAACTTAAAAAGTTAAAAAAAGGATCTTTTCATAACCACATATTTTCTATAAAAATATTAATTACACAGTAATGGAATATTTATTCATTCCAGAATTTAAATTTCATCTCATTGAAGGAAGAATTGCTTTTTCTTCTTAATAATTTCCTACGACGAAAATAAGGATCCTTTGTACCAAGAAAATACTTCCTTATTTTCATTTAAGTAATGAAGGAAAAATTTTTTCTTTCTCTTTAAAATTTACTTTTTTAAATATTATTTTAACCTATTTTTACGCGAATAAGTCGCTTGGAGACATAAAAATGGCTTATCTCTAAATATAATTACTTTTTATCTGACCTGGTAAATATTTTTTAGCATTTGAACTAAATAATATTACTCAAGTGAGGAAAGTTGAATTGAACAGGTACACATTAGTACTCTAGTTAAATTCTAAAATATTTTCAACAATGAACAATTTCATTTTACATTGGCATATCTCTGAGGGTACTGGTTTTTGGTCTTGTTTCAAACTTGTAATGTTTGTAATAGTTGATGGAGTTGATATACTATTATACCCTCGAGTATTCATTTATTCTGTTTTCTTGCGTCAGTTGTAAAAGATAAACAACCTAGATAAATGAGAATGCTGTATGAAGATGAAAATGGAAATTTTTAAATGACAAACTATTGGAAAATTAAATTATTTTTATTTGTTTGTCAAGCTTCTTCCAATCCAAGTGTCAAATTACATTCGATAACTTTTAAAAACAATCATACAACGTTTCAATGACATTGATCATCATTAATAATAATTAACGATTGGAAAAAGTAAAGTTATTCCTTATTATTCTTTGAACGTTTTAATAAATTAATTTTAGAGACTATGTTAACGAGACTATTGAATAGATTATTTTAAAGAGACTTACCGATCAATAGATATCGCCATAAGTGTGAAGACACTAGCACAAATAGTAAGTACAGCAATGAATTGGCTAATTTTACAATATAAATTTCCAAATGTCCAATGACTGTTCAACATATAGAAGTAATTGAAGGTGACATTAAGAGTAGACACCATAGCATCAGCAATACTGAGATTAACAAGAAAATAATTTGTAACTGTCCGCATCCTTTTGTGCCTCAAGACAATCCAGATAACTATGATGTTGCCAAGAGTTGCTACTATAATCATTCCCACAAATAAAAATGTCCAAATTATCTGTCGCCACAAAGGTAGAATAAATTTATTGCCATCTGAATCAGTTGAATTGGTATCATTTCCAAACCAAGTTGTTTCAATTTCTGGCCAGGTCGAATTGAATGGGTAGTCTGTTGAGAAATATACTTCCTCCAACGACTGCATCATGATGTCAACTTTTATACTATTCACTCAATTACCAATACTCTTCTTCTTCAGTAACAATAAACATTCTTAATAATAATAATTGATGTTTGTAATAAGAACAGGGGCCAACAGCCCCATAATATTTCTGCTTTACATAGTCACGTGATAAGTGATATTATTTAATAGAGTATTAGTTTATGTAAATGCATTTGTCATTTATAAAGCCATCTTTCTAATAATGATATATTATTTAACTCAATCATAGAATTTTTATAATATTTTCAACTGTTTTTATATTTTTTTTTCTTCAATTGTAATAGTCGAATAATGTCTTTTGTTGAACTTTAATTCAACTAAAACTCAACTTCAACGACCTCTAGTCGTTAATCGTGTCTGTATTACTGTCGATTTCGAAGTTTCAATTGCTTTTTTTTCATTGATTTCATTCAATAAATAAAATTACGTTTCACTTGAGATGTGTTTTAATTTTTTTTTTTACATTTTGTTGTTTTTTCTTGTGATTTTATGGTAACCTGTCACCTGTTTGCAATCTTTAGAGCTCTCTTGAGTCTGATGTGATACGCCTTAGGCAATTTTTCCACAAACTCACCCTCCTCCTTGTATCTTTACTGTCGCAATATTATTTGCTCTTGATGTTTAGTGAACTTTAGTTTTATTTACACAGTCACATGAGTCATTATTCTTTTTGTCTTGTGGAGTAATCCAAGATTAAAGTCACTATACTCGACAGTATTGAGAGTCCTTTGGAGTTATTTTATTTTTTTTTTTTATCCTACGTACTTTCGTTTAAATTCCGGCATTTTTTTGATATTGTTTTTTCTTTTATTATGTTTTTGGAGATATCAATATTCGATTTCCACACTCATTTTTTTTTTCCATTCATTTGACTTATTTTTATTGCTGCTCTTTCACTGTAATCCATTTGTCGACATCAGCATTACTGAATCGTCCTGAAACAAGATATATTACATTGTTCATTAAACTAGAATAAAATGTCATCATTTTTTATGTTTAATTAATTTAGTTTTATAGTTACATAAAAAAACAATTAAATTTAAAGTTCGTATAATAATAAAAAGATCGTGAGTATCGTTAATTATGTAATGACTTGGGTCATTTTTGTCACGTTAGAAAATCACAATTAATTGTAACACAATGAATGTACCTTCTAATTACTTTGCTGTGTTTGTGATCATCTATATATAGATGAATGAACATTGGCTTTTATTGTGATTAATTCATGAGAGACTGATGAGCATTTGAATTTACTTTGTTTCGGGGAATACAGGTGTTTGATAAATATAATCGTTAGTGAAATTAATTATTATCCTCTTTTTACTTAGTTCAAGTAGTTTAGCACTTGATAAATGTCTGCAGAAAAAGCACGATTTTGATGTTCTTCAGATTGTTGTGAATAATTAAAAAAAATTAGTCGATGATTTCAATGGAAAAATAAAATCTAAAAATGTTGTTTTATACATTGGTTTAATGAACAATGATTGTTCAATTTTTAGGGTTTATATTATGAAGATAATTTTAACAAACAAAATGATTATTTTTGTAACAATTTCGAATAAATAGTTTATTAAAAAATCAACAGTTGTTGATAACTTTATGAAGAAAAACTGAAAAATGGCACATTTAATGTTAAAATATGGATCAAATTTATTTGGAAATAAATCATTAATTTTAGAAAATTAATAAAAAGAAGATTTTTTTATGTTATGCAGTTGTTATTCAATTGAAAAATTGAAAAAAAATTTTTTTTTTTGTAAAAGTTATAACTACTCTCTAAAGAACGTTATTCAATAAATTTTAATTTTGTTGTTACTTATTTTGGAAAGCCCTCTCGAATCGCTCAAAAAATTCGCTCCTACATGCTAAAACTTCTTCAATATGATACATTGTAAAAATTCTTCTAATAAATATATCGTAAGATAAATATATATTTTTATCTAAATAGTTAACTGAGACTAACTTCAATCAGACACATTTTTTTAATCAGTCATAATTTATTCATCCTTAATAAACATTTTAATTGGGTTTGCTAATTATTTAGTATTCATTTCATATTTTATAATTTTAGGTTTAGAATAAATAATTCGCTTTCATTTTTTTTTTTTAACACATAAAGACACTTTGATTTAGTTTAAAATGAAGATAAAAAAAAATTCCCATATTATCATACTCAATAATGAATAAATTGATTTGGAAAGTTTTAATTAGCTATCAATATTTCGATTTGTGACATTTAATGAATCAAAGTGTCGTTGGTGAAAAATAATTAACTAATTTATGAAGAAAGGAGAAAAATGAGGGAGATTACTAGCAGAAAGGGGTCAGCAGTTCTATCATAAAATTGGAAGTTGGAATTTAATTGTAGAGTTGGCGACAAAATGGGTAGGAGTGAGTATGATGGAAAATTGTCGATCGAAATTCTTGAAATGATTCGTCGGTCATACTGATCTCTGATATCTATTCATGTTCTATTTTTAACCTGTGATGTAATCCAAATATTTTTTTTAGTCTGTCAAATTTTTTATTAGAAAAAAAAAACATATTCTACAATTGTTAACGTCAAATATTACTATAAAATTTTATTGAACTATGATTGAAGGGAAAAAAAAGGAAATTCTTTTCGACAAATCAATTGTATCTTTCATCGTTTTTCATTTATGATTGTCATCGTTGTATATGTGTAGTGAAAAACTTCTATCAGTACCTGTGTGGAAATTCAAAAGAAATGTAATACCAAAATAAAAGCATTAGAGGAAGTTTTACGAGAAATAGTACTGTGCATTTTTATTCTGTAGAATAACGTGAGTTGTAGTGCCTTTTGGGAGTTGTGCAATGTACATGAAAATGTACAGAATATATTTTTTACCACATTTTTATTGGGAAGAAATGTAAAAAAAAAAAAGATATAATGGATATTGCAGTTTTTCAATGTAATGTAATTTCAAAATCACTGTAGAGGTTTTTGAATGGGCATGAATTGAATAAATACAAGCTCTCTCTATGTTACTTATTACTTATCATAATTTCAACTTTTTATTATTGCAATCACATTACTGTATCCAACTATATTTTATTTATTTATTAATTTTTTTTATTATTGAACAATTTTTCTACTTTTTTTAATTTTATTTCTCATTTTCTCCATTTATTTCGATGGTTAGCATATTATTTATTCGCTTTTGGTCCCGATAAATTCTTTCTCATGACAAAAACAAAACTCGCAACATTTGTGCTGCTCTTAATGTTTAAACATACAAGTTTCTTAAGCTAATTAAACTAAGATTCTATAAAATAACACTAAAACATATTCATTGTCAATAGCTCACAAAAACTTGGCGAATATTTTATTGAGTTTCTAAAATATGAAAAAAGTAAGATGCACGGATTAATATTTTCCAATTTTATTTAAATCAGAATTTTATTGAGAAGAAATGTAAAATCCTTTCTCATGATTCCAAAAAAAAAAAATATAAATAAAATAAAGAAGTTCTATTCTTTATTAAAATTAGAAATGACGTTCGCTATCTTCGAATACATTACCACTTTTATTTTATTCAATTTTAAATTTCTATTAATTTAATTATTTAAATTAATAAGTCAGACGTAAAAATATAATAATCATTCCCATCGATTACTTTGTGAATAATTCAAAAAATAAATTTTCAAAAAGTATTTTATTCTCAATCAGATAAAAAAAAAATTATCTTTTAAAAAATCAATCGTTTTTTTCCCACTTTGGGAGTCTCAAGCTACGAAGATTGATGAAAATTCAGGATAATCAATTTTCAAGGAAAATCAATAGCTTGTTTCTATCGCTTTAATAACAAAAACTATACATTACTTGTTTCTAATTTTTCTGTATCACATAAACTAATAAACTATCAAAATTTCAATAAAAAATTTTCGAAAATGAATAATGTCGATTTTTTATACCGAATCGTTGGATGACATGACAGTCTTCAATCTCATTAATAAATATTTGGATCTGGGTGTAGACTAACACTAAAATCTCCATTAAAAGTTCTAAAACATGTGTTGGATGACAGGATTTCAATAAAATAATATCCTCTTAACCTTAATTTATCTAAAGAAGCATAAACATATGTTGAAAAAATGTCGATGATAAAAAATAAATCGACGCCGTTCATTTAATTGAATTGTAAAAATGTCCATTTATTTTTATTTATTAATATATTAGTTTTAACAGCTGATTGTAAATGTATATATTGATGGCAGTTTGATAGGAATAAAATGGTATTAATGCACCATACAAATAGATATATATCGTGCTAAGTTGGCATTTATTCTTACGATAACAGAAAGAGTAGTGGCATTAAGTAGCTGTAGCCCCTTATTTATTAATATTTTCATCCTTTATCTGTAAAATCAGACCATTAGATAAAACTATGAATAGGGTAAAAATGATTTTATACATGTCGAGCTTATCAAGAGAGTAGTGCGAAAGACCAACATTATTTTTTGTCAATAGACATAGAATAGTATAACTCAAAACACTAAAATGAACGCACATTGTGAGATATTCTTATTTTTTTTTTGTCTTTTTGTGACATGAAAAATTTTCCTGCCAGTAGGAGGAAAAAGAGTAAGTGTCATGAGGGTAGAGTTTGATGTACAGATGAAAAGATTGTGATCTGTTCCTTATTTTTTTTTTTAAAAATCGATTCTGTCATATCATGGTTTGTTCATCATTAAGATACGTGTATAATTATATATCTATATATATATAAATCAAATTTTCTAATTTATTTATTTTTTTCAAAGGTAATCTTATTGAGAATAATAAATCATGGGCGGGCAGATTTTTTATACCAACTAAAAATTGGTAGCAGTTAATAAATTATATCATTATATTAAATTATTGTATTGTTTGATTATTTAACTATTAATTTTAGTTGAACATAAAATAAAATTAAAATTCAGTATTTATTGGAGTTTTTATTGTTATTAAATATCTTAAAAACAACGCATCGGGGATTAAAACATGCTACATGTAATTTTTAGAGCTTTTTATGAGAAATAAAATGAGACCAGTCTCAACTTTCTACGACAAATAGTTCTCGAGATATTTAATTGTTTATATCAAAAGTTTCACTGTATTTTAAACAATTGACTGTAGTTTATCAACAAAAAAACTTTTTAAAATTTTTTTTCCTTTTAATCGGAAGCTACATCTATGCTAAACATATAAAACAACTTGAAGTTAATTAAATGTCATTACTTTTTACAATGAAAAATATAAAGTGCATATTAAATAGAATTTGTTATAAGTCATGTTTTATTTTTTATCTTAAAATCATCTTATGCTTTACGAAATAAAAGTTTATATATTATTCAAATTGGTAAAAAGATTGTATTGTATATGTATATAGTTTGATGGATGAGCTTCTTCGAGGTCATAAGGTCACGTAAAAAAATACAGAGTTAATCGAAAATAGTTTAGCACTAGAGTGAATACTGAAGTATGTGGTTCTGCATTTATTTGCTAAAGGAGAATTGGTACAGAGTTCGAAGGGCTTTTAAATGCTTCAACGCGGACCAATGGCTTCTTTGTGCCAATAACCATCGTGAAACAGTACGATATAACGTATCGTTTCGCAGAGAATGCAATTCTAGGACAAAGCAATTGCCCAGCCGGAAATACAGCAACTTCCTGGGCATCTCAGAGGGGATGATCAAAACAAATAGCTGTTATTTAAGATACCTAGTACAGGAGTGTTATAATATCAAATAGTCATCTGAATCAAACTGCAACATCATCGAAATATCGATCATTTATTGTATCCATACTTTTTATTAGTTAAAAAAATAAATTTGTGATAAAAGTTGTTCAATATGATGGTAAAAAAAAATATTGTTAACAATATTATTTTTATATTCCCTTTATCTATATTTTTGTATGACTACACGATAA